CCTGCAGAAACTATATAAATCTTTGTGGAAGGAAATAAAGTGGCACCTTGATCAGAATCTAGACTTGGTGTGTTTTCCTTTGTATCTCCTGTCCCTACATTCCCTCCTTAGGGTGGTCGAGAACCCGTTGAAGCCCTGCAGGCGGGGCACCTCCCCCCCTTTTGTGTCTCTCTGTCTCTCTGTCTCTGTCTTTCTGTCTCTCTCTCTGTTTCTCTCCCCCCACCCCCCAATAAAGCTCTAAAAAGGTAACCATGGCTATGATTCTTTTAATCAGCATGCTGCTCCGCCGGCATGGTCACCATGGGCGGTGACCAGACACGAGGGGCACCGCTTCGGCTTAAGCAACACTGAGTGAACAAACACCTGTTCAACAACACTTGTGAGACTTGAAAAAGAACAGTGGATCCAGATACTTTGAAGGACTAGAGGAAATTTGGCTCTCAGGGTAAGAGGATTGGCAGGGTTGTGGGCAACATTCCATCTCCTGAGCAATGGTATATGCAGTTACTAAAATGCCTGTTAATGGAAATGGAGTGAAAGTAAAGGGAAAAACAACTTAGAAAGTTTTTTATATTAATTGAATGGCATTACCTTTGGTTTCAGGCAATTCCTCATGTTCAATTAAAATTGACAGCATGGAAGCAAATGTTGAGAGCTTTGAGGAAAGCTCATCAGAAAAGAAAGCCCATACTGTTAAAAACAGTCTTTGTGTAATTTAATTTCAAATACTCTGGAGCCATTGCAGAGTGAGTAGTCACTTAAAGTTATATCTGAAGCAGAACAGCAAATGAAAAGGGAAGACATTCAGGCTAGGATATGTCAATCAGCAGAAGAGAATATTCCTTTACAGGATGATAGGAATGCTGTTTCAGAGGACAGTGAAAGTGAGGGAAGCCAGGACACTGGAGATGACTCTTCTCCTTCTTCATCAGATAAAACAGATTAAGAAATAGGAAGGGCTGAAAGTTAACTGCACACAAGAGCTCCCAAGACAGAAAAAAAGTAAACATCCCAGAAGGAGAAAGGGAAAGAAAGGAGAAAAAGAAGAAATCTTCCCAGTAGTAAGAAGGGAAGCAGAAAGATTTAAAAGGAAAATTTTCCCTATAGAAAATGGGGGAAGAAAATGAATTTTCCCAGTAGAAAAATGAGAAATACTTAATTATGGCCCAACAGCACCACCTTATAATGGAATTGAGGAATGGTTGCCTAAGATCATAAGAACACCTCAGCAGGTGTTCCCAGCTACTATGCAACAGATGCCTGCAAATAATCAATATCCCCAAGGTTATGTTCAATTTAATTGGAGACCTACCTATGGACATGGAAGATCTGAAAAGAGTAAAAGAAGCAGTGATGGCATATGGGATGCATTCATCTCATGTAAAATGGGTTTTAAATAATTGGGCTATTCAGAATAGTTATTCCAAAAGATTGGAAGAGCCTCATGGCAGCCATACTAGAAGCTAATCCTCAATTACAATGGTTTACTTGGAGTAGAGAGGAAGCAGCAGCCATGGAACAGCATAATCAGACTAGAGGAGTAGATATAATAATGGACCAATTGTGAGGAGAGGGTCAGTATACTGTTTTACAAAGACAAATACAATTTGATGATACTACGACAGTGCAATGTCTCCTAGTGGCTTTAAGTGTCTGGGATAAGGTCACAGAACCAGAGAAAAGATTTGTCTCCTTCACAAAATCACACAAAGTGCAGGAGAAGTCTACACTGAATTTTGCAGTTGAACTTCAGCAGTGCATAGAGCAGTGGCTGATCCA